TGCTGCTCCCTCGCCCTCCGCGGAACGCAGCTGGGGCTTTCCCCATGTGCCGCACTCCCACTCCCATGATCCCCGCCTCGCTGGATTATGGGAGTCGAAGTGCACGTCAGAAGGCCGCCAGGTTGAGGAAGGGTGGTGCAAGAGATGCCGAAGCCTTTGGCTTCAGGAAGGAGGTCGTGTCGTTTAACGGTTTGGCTCTCGCCCCGCGGATTCATGAAAATGACTTTTTGCTTGTTTGTCTTTTGGAGGCAGTGAGGAAAGAGGTGTAGGCGAACCCTTGGAAGCTCTAGTCTTAAACATCCTAAACATCCATCTTCCCTTTGAAGGAATGCATAGAGGAGGGAGACGAGTTTTAACTGCGCAAGGTTTATACTAAACATGTTTCCTGTAAACGCAGGTGATGTTGACAAGCCAAGCGTTTTTCTTATTTTAGTTAAATACCCCTAGCTGGAAGGGTTTTATATTATTTTAAATTTCACCCTTCCTTCAAAGAGTAAAGGATTTTTCCCTTTTTTGATATTATCTTGACGCACCACTCTCATGAGGTAGGTTAGAAGAGAAAAACGGATACATACCATTGGGAGAGCCTATATATCTTTTTAAAAAACTTGGGTAAGTTCTCTTCTTCCTCTGTAATCAGGTATGGAAATATTTTATGTCCTATAGAAGAATTTTGTCATCAAATCATAACTAAGGAAGTTACCCTGATCTGAGGCTATAGTAAGTGAGGAGGAGGGAACAGTTGCTTATCAGAGACTTGAAACCAGCATTACAGATGTGTTGTTGCCATGGGCAACACACTGACATTTCCTGTGCATTGGAGAGAGCAAAATGTTTGTATAAATATTTGCCTATAAACAAAAATGGCAAAACCCAGTTTGGATTATATTTCAACTTATTACTTTAAACGCCCCATGAAGTATAAACCCATTTGATTCTTTCAGATACCAAATCATGCACTGGATAAGACCCCACCCTATGTGTGGGGCTCAGATTTTTGTCTGATTCTGGATTTAAGTTTTTATTTTATAATATATATTTTATAATTTATTAATAGTATATATTTGAGATATGACAGTCGGGTGCCTTTTTCATTAGTCTTAAAAAGATAGATATTTTCAAATGTAGATATACATTAAAAATATAGATATTTTAAGGGCCTGTAGCCCTTAAAAAGTGGAGAAAGGGGCTGTTGCGTGTAAATCTAACTAACTTAAGTTGCTGTAATCTGATTTAATCAGCTTCACCATTTGATTTTATGGAATGGAAACAATGTGCCACTTTGTACACTACATTCTTAGATACACATTTAAAATGTGTTAAGTATAAGGTTTGATTGGCGGCATCTTTTTATTCAGTGTATAGTTTATGGCAACTGACCTTCCCTTTGTTTAGGGGAGACAGAGAGCTATAACTAGGAAAATCAACTTCTGTTCTGTTCTGAGGGCCTTTTTCCCCCATGCATACTACATTTTCATTTTTAACAAGCTGCTGATGCCGGATCAGGACCAGTTCCTTGATAATTCAAAATAGCAATGACTGTCATTGCAATATTCAAGCAATAAACTATATAATCTGTTAATACCTTTTATAAAATATTGTTTGTATACTTTTGTCTTTCTACAAATTGTTACACATGCCCAGCCATAGCCTGCTTTTCTTTGAGAGAGAGATATATCTTTTACATAGTATATACAGTGGAACCTCGAGTTACGAATTTAATCCGTTCCATGACTCTGGTTGCAACTCGAATTGGTCGCAACAAGAGGCAAATTTTCCACTAAAGTTAAATGTCATTACCGGAAACCCGGTCCGGCGTACGCGGACCATGCAGCAGGGGCGGAAAAACGGCTGCGGACCACGCGGCAGGGCGGAAAAACGGCTGCGGACCACGCGGCAGGGCGGAAAAACGGCTGTGGACCACGTGGAGCGGGCAGAAAAATGGCCGCAGACCACGTGGAATGGGCGGAAAAATGGCCGCGGACCATGTGGAACGGGCAGAAAATGGCCGCGGATCCGGTTCGTAAGTCGAGGCGAGTTCGCAAGTCGAGGTAAATTTTTGGGGCCGGAGCTGGTCGTATCTCGAAAAATTAAGGAGGGGCGTTCGTAACTAGAGGTACCACTGTATCCTGCAACTGACTTTTTCCAGATTATGTTCAAGTTAATGATATGTAATGGGCAGGATTACAATTAAGGATGCTGGGGGTTTTGTTTTTTACTTTTTCCTTCTCCTCCTCTTTATATGATTGTTGCCAAAAATGTTTGCTGGATTTGTCCATTCCTCCTCTTAGTGTTCTTTACCTTCTGTCCCATCCTTTAACAGTATTTTTAGCTATTTCAGCTGGGTTTCATAGATAAAGATTACTCTACTACCAGCAGAATATATTTAAGGTGATTATGAGGACATGCAGAGAGTCTCTTTCTATAGATATTTCTGTGTTACGTTTTGTTGTTGTTCATTTTATGTGAGCCACCCAGAGTTTTGGGAATGGGGTAAGCTATACATTTTAGTAAATAAATAAATTAAAGCTTGCTCACTCCTCCATTCCCAAATGAAAGGCTTGTAGATAGCTTGCTTGATCAATATGTCACATGTCCAAATATTAAACAGTATTTAAAAGTTTCTAAATTAAAGAGAATGAATGATACTATATTGTAAAATGTCTTGAAATCTGTGCCAAAGGGAAACACATTGCATCATTTTTTGATTGGTAGATAAAATCGCCTTTTCAAAAACAGATAAATTATGCATCTCTTGAAATAATACTATGTTTTCCAATTTCTTAAAATAATTCTTTTAGCAATATTCCAGGACTGGTATATATTCCTCAAAAATAATCAGATTCCAAAAATGTGAGACATAATTTAAGGTAACCTTAACATCTTAACATTAAAAGATTTCCCTGTAAAATTTACTTATATGTATTAAAATACTATTTCATAAAGGTGTCAGTGACTCACAAGATAAAATCATGAGTCCATGAATATCTGATGTCCATCCTTTCAAATACATTATTTGGTGTGTCCACTAGACTCAAAATAAAATTGTTTGGTGAATCAGTGTTAATGTTAAATTCAGTGAAACCAAATCTTCCTGTATAATGCAAGAAAGGAGAGCTATATCTTTCCCTTTTTCCCCTGCCTTCTGTTTTACTCCCCAAATTGAATCTTGGCAAGCCCCAACATTTCATTTTTCAACTGATCTTAAACACTAATAGATTCAATTCAGCTGATAGATTTGTACTCTGTATAAGCATTATTTCTGAATACAGCATTGCAGCACAGGGGATGTTCTGAGCCCGCTCTCCATTCCTGCATCATTCTCTCTTTTTTTCAGAAGCCAAGATGGTGGATTTGGGAGTAGAAAACACAATTGCATCATTTTTCCAAGTATCCTAGTTTCAAAGTGGTAGAACAAAGCTAGAGTAAGACAGTGGAGCATGGGATGAATTGTGCTATGAGAAGGAAAATTTTAAATTGTTTGCTGCTTGTTCACCTCCCTAAGAATAATTTGAATTATAGGAGAGCAGATATCTGGAAATAGTATCTGTCCTTAAGTCCCTTTCTCTAGCACTTCAGCAAGTCAGCATTTGTATACAGTGGGGCAAAAAAGTATTTAGTCAGCCACCAGTTGTGCAACTTCTCCCACTTAAAAAGATGAGAGAGGCCTGTAATTTTCATCATAGGTATAC